ATTCATATGTAAAAGTTCGCGAGAAACACGATGGTGCCACTGGTTTTCTCTGATTTCAACTCCCAAGCTTAAAAAAAGCTCTCAAGTTGAGGCCAAAATGGAGGGGATATCCCACGCTATTTCTGAGAGTCCACCTCTACATCAAAAGAAACTCTCCATGCAAAGATAGGGAGCAAATGCATTAGCAGGGCTGCCACTTTATTTGAGGACTCCAAAACTGAAAACACGGCAACCCTGCTACTGTATTTGCTCCCTATCTTTGCATGGAGAGTTTGTTTTTATGTAGAGGTGGACTCTCAGGGTAGGGTGGGCTATCCCCTCCATTTTGGCCTCAACTTGAGAGCTTTTTATAAGCTTGGGAGTTGATTTCAGAGAAAACCAGTGGCACCATCGTGTTTCTCGCGAACTTTTACGTAAGAATCAAGAGTCAAATCGCAAATTCCTCACACATGCAACATTTCCATTGCTGTATGAACGGTGTTATGAGCCTTTGAAGTTTCCGAATCTTGTTCTACCTCTCATATCGACTGGATCTACCGTGCGGCGCACAGTGGATCGAGTCAATTAAAGAGGTCGGACATGAGGACATGAAATTTTTGACTAAAACTGCGAATTTTGATGTTCATTTCGTAACATTTTAAAGTTCAAGTGTTGCCACTAGAAGAAAAGTTCACGAGAAAACCAATGGAACCACTTTTAGTACCTCAAAGTCTTGTATAAATGGTGTTATAAGCCTTTAAAGTTTCCGAATCTTGTCCGACCTTTCCCATTGACTCGACCCTCCGTGCGGCGCGGCGCCCTAGTAATGACAGCGAGCGTCCCGCGCGTCTCCTCCCGATGAGATTCCGTGGCAGCGCCGCGCCGTTGGGCGCCTCACTTCCTTCACTTCCACGTCGACGTTGTCGTCGGGCGGCCGTTTCCGTCCCGCCGGGCGAGCCCCCCGTTACGTAAGTTCTCACGCCCGGCGACCCGGCAGCGAGGCGGCTCCCGACCGCCGACCGCGACGCGGCCCGCGCGAAAATCTTCGCCGCGCCGTGCGTTTGTCGCACTCGCAGGTGTCGCCGACAGGAGCGGCTTATGCAACCGACAAGGTCGCTCACCCGCCGAGCCTCCTCTGGCGCCGCTCTGTCTCAACGTATCGCGGCGGTTGCGGTCCCTATGTAGGGAGAGTACGGACACGTCGAAATGGGGAGCTCTCAGGGTCCAAATGTCTTACGTTGGAAAACTGGGGTCATTCGAATTTTCACAGAAATTGCCCCAAAATAGAGGACCTATATAGGGAGAGTGCGGACATGTCCAAATGCGGAGCTCTCAGGGTCCAAATGTCTTACATCGGAAAAACTGGGGTCATTCGAATTTTCACTTGGCTTTTGTTAATATCACAGCAGTAAAGTTCTTCCGAGGAGGCCAAAGTAAAGGGAGTTAAAAAAACCTCTTCCAAATTCTTTAACTGACCAATAATAACCAAAATTGCCCCAAAATAGAGTACCTATATAGGGAGAGTACGGACATGTCGAAATATGGAGCTCTGGATCGGCGCCCCAATACTTTGCGACTCTACTGTACTCTATGATAGATCGCAACCAGAATGCATCGCGCAAAGGCCGTGGATCCACCTCAACCTAACTTAACCTTACTTCACACTTGAGAGTATTTCCTATTTATTGCGGGCAGATCGTATGTCGGGCGGCGGCGGCGGCGGGCTTTTCTGCGACCCCAGCGCCACCAACGACGACGTCTGCCAGGCCGCAAATCAGTGACGAAAGGTCAGCTCACTTTTTGTCCTTGACTTTACCTGAATCTCGTTCGATCGCGGATCGCGCCTATAACCGTTATATAACGTCGCGCCTTCTCCATCTCGCATATCGTGGACCGTACTCGGTCAAAGTCAATAGACCCTGTCGCATGTCGGCTGAAGACCGAAGCCGCGGCACACAAGAGTCGAAAATGGGAACGTTCACTCGGCTGAGGCGTTTGACTGCTGCGTCTGACCGAATTTGCGAGCTTGGAGACTTGCTTGTGGTTGGTCATGAGACAGCCTAAAGAAACTTAACCGGGTGGGCCTGGGCCTCTTGTCTCATGGTGATCCGTCCCGGATTCTGGCGTGGTCGAACTGGCGTGCGATACATCGCATCGATTAGGTTGAAAATTTTGGCAAATTTTAAATTTTAAGCCCATAAAAAGGACGATAGCCTCTGGGCAGGAGCCTGCAGAAAAATTCTAAACCAATAAATACGCACAAATCAAATAGATTATTCTGGGAATAACCCCTCATTTTCGATAAAGAAGACAATTATTGTTTCAAATACAAGGGGCTTCCCCTTCATTTTTCTGAATTTTGCCAATTTTTTAATAAGAAATGCCGATAGGCCCGACGGAAAAGTTTTGCTGCAGCCCCCAGGAGGACTCTGAATTCAAAAAGGCAACCAACCTTCGAACACGAAAAATGTCGCTGTCAACCTTCAGATTTCAATGTCAAACCAAGGTGGCCAAGAATGTTCGTAAATGAGCGTCCTTCCGCAAAAATGAGTAAAGTTAAGCAAAAACTGAGTCAAATACGCGCTTTATGATCGACGGGTCGTAAAAATTCGTCGTCTCCCATACTGCCGTGCCGAGGAAAAACGCCGTATGAACATTCGAGAGTTGCCAAATTTCCTTCACTAAAATGTTGGTTTTTGAGGAATGTTATGAATATTTTCCCTTGGAATTTTCAGGAACTTCAGATGAAACTGTGAACAAAATTTTCGGAAAAGCTGGAAGGAAAATATTCACAAGTTTACCAGGAAATCCGTATTTTATTAAAGGAAATTTGGCAACGTCTGAAGGTTCATACGGCGTTTTTCCTTGGCACGGCAGCATACGAAGGAGTGTAACTCCATTCCAAAGTTGCCAAATTGACTCAAACAATTAATTTATTTTACAAAAATATATACCCGTGCAATTTTTATCCTAAATGTTCTGATTTTTGCATGCAATCTGAGGTAAAATCAGTGCAATTTTCAGTTAGGAACGCCCAAGATTTTCCTGAATAATATGCAATTTGCGGATGAAAATGTGGAAAAAATTGAAATGGGTCTTCCGTGAGGGAACGACGAACTGTAGTAATATTTCACTCTGGATAATTTGAATTTATAGATTGGCTGCCCTTTTAGGCCCAGGAGCGATCTAACCTCCCCTTTACCCTTGCGCACCCTGTATATCGATCGCATTGAGTACATTAGAGTCGCGATATTCTGGAACGCCGATGAAAGATTTCTCGCACAGTGGGAAGAACTATTGCAAGAAGTATGAGACACGTATCTTTTGACTAAAATTGAAAATGTGCATGTTTGTTTCGTCGCATTACATATTCTAAGAGGTAAAATTTGAGGAGAATAGACCTAACAGAAAAACCAATGAAGCAATTTTTAAACATTTTGTATTAACGAGGATACAAGTTTTTACAGTTTTCATATAATGTCCAACCTTTCCTATTTTTCGTTTCATTGTGTGTCAGTTTGATGTTTGGTTTGATACTGTTCCATTGACGCACTCAATCGATGCAGCTGCGATTTATTTATGTTCTAGCCAAATTTTAACGTTTAATTAATTGTGAAAAAAAAGAAAAAAAGAAGAAAAAAAGAAAAAAAGACGGAAAAAGATCAGAAGACGCAGCAACTTCTTGTTCAGCAAGAGTGACATGGTGAGAACTTTAAAAAAATGTATAACAAGAGAAAAAAATGGTGATTAATAGCCCAATGGTTGGCTCCTCAGTTTTTTCAAACCTAATAGCAGCTGCATCCATTGACGCAATAATGAAAATTTCGCATTTTTTAAAAAATTGATTGAGAGAAAGAATTGAGACAAAAACAAACAGAAACAAACATTCCCAGTTTTTTTCCGACCTGATGACGATATCTGCATACGCAAGAGGGAAACTATTACCTACTCAGTTCTGACAATCTACAGAATCTTTGGCACTTACTGTCCTTTGCACCGCGTGATAAAAATGACCCCCCCGCCTCCAAAAAAAAAAAAAAAAAAAAAAAAAAATTACTATAAATCAATTTTGTCAGTCCGTAATGACGTCATGTATACCAACGACGGATCAAAGAGAACGCACATATTGATTACGATGTTTTAAAACTCAACTCAAACGTAAGTTTATTAAGAGTGGGATAATTACTGGTATTTTTGCTCAAATTTTCTCGAGAAAATTCATAAAAGGAAAAAGCAGAATCTCACGAAGCTCGCTTATGATAATTATTAGATATCCCTCCAAAAGAGAAAAAAGCGACAGTAAATCTGGAACGTTGCAAAGAAAGGGGCCGTTCTTAGCGTTCAGTTACACGATCAAATTGAGCCATCAAACTGAAGCTTTGATTGGTGGAAAAAGACCTGAGGTGAGTATGCGACGAATGAGGGGCCCGATTTGATGGCTCAATTTGATCGTGTAACTGGACCTTAAAATTACGTAACGCTCTACGTGGGGAAGAGGTCGAAGAGAGCGTTAAGCCATTTTTTTACGCGTTAAGGGAAAGGGACCTACGTCAAAAAACGTTACAAGGAGGGAGGGGGTGGTCATACATGCCGAAAAAGTGCGTTACGTAAAGAGCCGAGAGTACCCTAAGGTAAGTGGTTCGTGGTTTCTTTGTCGATGTTTTTGTTTATATCACATTTAAACCTGTGGAAATGTATCGATTCTCGGATGGGTCAGGCACTCGTCGAGAAACGGTTATTTATACCAGTTCAAATTTAGAAGAGCCAGTGTTCAGTGGCGTGGCGTGCTTTGCGATATATCGATTGATACGCCACTCAAACCCATGAAAAAAGATCGATTATCTGGGTGTTCGCAGCGAACACCTTAGTAATCGATTCTTTACCATAGCTTCAAATGGCGAGATATCGATAATCGATTATCCACGCCACGCCACTGCCAGTGTTGCCTAATTGTTGGATCCGCCTCTGCGCTTTTGCCCCTCATTTTAATTTTTCACATGTGAGTATTCTTCTGATTTCAGATTGGTGTCTAGGGGTTCAGAGCACTGGCTATATATATGGCTCCACCAAAATTACCGGTTGGTTGACCTCCCGTGGAATGATCCGCTGACGTGGTACATAGCAGCTATTTGCATAGATTTTGGATACTATTGGGTTCATAGAGCATGTCACGGTGAGAAATAATTTTTTGTTTATTTATACGTCAAAACTTATGAACCGCGTCAAATGGAAAGTAATAAAATTCCTGGTAAAAATTGGCAGTAGAATCTGTGTTCCAAAATACCATAGACCTACAGCCGACTGTAAGATTTCCAATAGCTTCTATAGCCGGCATCACAATTTCCCATAGCCGATGGTGATTAAGCAACAGCCTGATGATAAAGTGTATGCTATCCGTTACTAATTACGGATGCTAGGACTTGGTGAGTTTTTGGACTACCGCTCTCTTTTTGGGCCGTAGTATCTTGATTTATTTTGCGAGGAAAGATCCGTACTTTTGAAGGATGCCTGCCATTCTTAATATGTTGGAGCGCCTTCAATTTCGTACGATACTGTGCAATACCGCTGGGGTGAAATAGTAGCTTCAAGCGCCGTGGTACGCTGAGCGGCGGGCGGGCAGTCAGCGCGAAACGCGCATTGGCGCCTACAAACCCAACAGGGATACTTCACGCATTGCGCAGTGCGTGAAGTATCCCTGTTAGGTTTGTAGGCGCCAGTGCGCCGCCGCTCTGCTTTGTGTTAGACTCTAATATTTAATCTCGTGGAGTCAGCGTTGTTCAACTCATGACTTTGAAATGTTTGCACACTCTGCATGGATTATTCTCATTTTAATTGATGAAAACAAATATGTAGTAAAGGAAAATATAAAGTGCGTTTTTTAAATATAATGGTGATTCAACAAACTTGCGGATTTACAAAGCACATGAATTTCTACACAATTTCTTATAGCCTTTTATAGCCGATGTCGAAAAAGCAACAGCCATAAAGTGTAAAGCCCGGCGACAGGAACTATAGCCCAGCTGTTTAATTTTTTATAGCTTCGTGTAGTCCGGCCGTATGATTTTTTCCAGTTTCTACAGCCAGCTATATGATTTTCTATCGCCTTCTTCAGTTGGCTATAAGAATTCCTATGGTATTTTGAAACGCAGCTCCTATCGCCAATTTTTACCAGGGATATTAATTTCCTTTCAGTGTGATTTGAGTGTACTTTAATTATTCTTTCCTTAAGGCTGGATACAGCTTAATTTGAAAATTTTTATGTCAACTTATTTTAAGCTCCCTTTCACGAAAAAAGGAAGCTGCAAAATTATGTGGAATGAATTTGAGAAGTGAAAAATAAATAAAACATCAAAGGATCACACTTAATGAGAAGAGGCTAACCTCTGGAGAAAATTTGGGATTTGCTCCTTACAAAAAGGGCTCGCATAATGGTTTTCGTGCCATGATTTTACTTCTTAAATACACATAACACAAGTTATTCGGTCATTTCTTTTTGTAGAATTATTTGCTTCAAATTTTGCGTGTCAGTCTAATCGTTTGCATTGTCGAATTTCCAAATTTCAGAAGTACATATCCTATGGGCTCAGCATCAAGTGCATCATAGTTCCGAAGACTACAATGTTTTTGTAGGCCTCCGACAGTCTTTCCTGCACCAGTGGTGTGGCTTTGTGAGTAAAATTATTTTCAGTTCACTTTCTTTTACATGCCAAATTTTCTACTTTGATCGTATAAATTGTTTTTTCGAAAAAAGTCATTTTTTGGGCAGACGGGTTTCCCTCAAGTTTCCATGTGAATTGATTTGTTTTGCGTAGTACTTCAAGTTTTGTCTAGTGCATTACGTAAAATACTAAACTAAGTCTGTCAGTAGGAGAATTGAAAAAATTGAATTGCCTGTAGCCTTCGAGTAAGTCTTCAGCCATTTTTTTCGTGGGTTCTCATAGTTCTTCAGTTCATTCATCAAGTTGCCCTCATCTCCTTCCAGTAGTTCCAGTGCATCTCCCTCTAACATGCCGATAGCTGAAGTAGAAAAAGTCTGATATTCATTGCGAATTGAAGAATCTCCGATTATGCTTTTTTTTTAAAAAAAAAATAGTGCACTGAATTTGCAATTTTGCAGTCGGAGAAACTGATCTCTCGACTTCGGCCATCGAAATAGAGCCAGTCTTAAAATTTTGCACGTATATATTTTTAAAACTTGCAAGATAAATCAATTTCTTTCCTTTCAACAAGTCTCATTTTGTGAAATGACGTCCACCATTAAAGAGTTATAAAAATACTTGAGGCTAATCTTGTCATGTCAACCGGCTCAACACTTGTCACGCATCAAATTATGAGAGCTCCTCGAAACAAAAATAACCCACTAAAGGCTCATCAGATAGCCTGCGAACAGTGGCGAGGCGTGAATGATCGATCATCGATATTTCTCCGTTTGAAGCTATGGTAAAGAATCGATTATTAAAATGTTCAGTGAAAGTACTCTGTTTATCGATCCTTTTCAATAGGTTTAAATGGCAGATCAATCGATACATCGCAAAGCGCGCCACGGCATTGATCCTCAAAGCATTCAAGAATTTTTCCGTTGATGAACAGGAGGGACAACTCGAAAATAGGGTTATGCAAAACGGCCGAGGGTTATGCCGTGATAGCGAAGAGAGCCGTAAGTGCAAAAATGAAGTTCTGAGAAAACGGGCTCAGAAGCTTCTGATCGAAAAATTGTAATGAAAGAAGCCTCCGTTCTTTGTCAAATTGCCATACTAATCGTCCGGAAGACTCCTAGAAATCGTATGGATGATTAAAAATCGACCGATTTTATTTCCATTACATAGAAAGGTTTTTCATGCCAGGTTATTGTTAGGCAAGACAGCCGTAAGTCCTATCTTCTGCAAGCTTTCGTGGTTGCGTTTTGGACGCACAACAAACACATTTTCAGGTTAGAAATTGGCAGAAGAGGGCGGCATTTTACTGGAAAGCACTGTTTTAATTGGCTCTCATGCACCGGCGGTTGTCTTGAAAAAAATTATGTCATTTTTTGTGCACTTACGGCTTTCTCATACGTCTCGTTTTCATTAAATTAGAATGAATTTTGCTGTTTTAGCTGTCTCAGTAATTTCATCTAAAAGAGTTTAGACGAATTTTGAAAAAAAACTCGATTTCGAAAATTTTGCACTTACGGCTCTCTTCGCTATCACGGCATCATTGATCTTGATCTCGATACAATATCGATGAGAGATGAGAGATGCCGTTACAATGCCCGCGGGGTCGCTTTTTGGCCGTTTTGCATAACCCTCTTTCTTCGTTACCTAACATATCGAGCGAGAAATTGAGACCGACGTGAGAGACATGTTTATTCGCCGAGCCACGCGAAATCAGAACGTGACAGACTGACAGAAGGCAATCGGGTCGGTTAGGTAACCGGGAGAGCATCATTTCTCTCAATTTCTTCGTGAAAAACAGCAGGCCGAAGACATTTCGTATCTTGATAAAAATCCGTGGCGTCAAACAGACCACTCTGATGATTATCGGATTCGCCGTAACACCCATCCAGATTTCAAACCACCCCCCCCCCCCCCCCCCNGCGAGGTTGATGTGAATTTTATGTAATGCAGTTTTCCACTGATTACGTAAAGCTCAGCGTGGAAACCTTTGCTACTAAATGTAACAGCCGTCCGTGGCCCTTATTGAGCAAATACTGCTCTCGACGAGTAAACAGGTTACGCTTATCGCCCTCTTATTGATTAAATTTTTTAAGTTTATTTACTTATTGATATCGCGTGAAAGCACTGACGCCTGTTATAGAACGAAAGCGTGCACTGCTGCACGTAAGTAAATGTTGGTTTGAACAGTGTAATTAGATCTGCATAAGAATAATGGGACACGTGCAACGTGACACCATACGTACTTCGTAAATCAATGAATAATTAAATAAGTAAAAGAAAAAGGAACACTGGGGAAAAAAAAAAAAACGCTGCCGTGGGAGCCGCAATTACGGGCTATATAGACATACCGTCCGTTCCGGGCTCAAAGGCCGAAAATTCCGGCTGCTGGAGGCGTAGCGTAGCTTCGATTGCTCCGGGCTCCCACGGCCGGAGTTTTTTTTTTTTCAGTGTAGAACAGAAGGAAGGGAAAGAAGAAGATAGATAAAAACAAGGGAAAGAAGGCGAAAAAACAGTAAAAGAGGAGGAAAAAGGAGAAACAGAAACTCTTCTTTTGCTCTCTTATTTTTTTCTCTCCTTTTTCTCCTTTTCCTCTTTCCCTCTTCCTCTAGTTCGAGCACGAAGACGACTAACAATAAGAGTCATCTAGATCAGATCTAGAATGAACTTGTCGGACGTTCATAGCGCCTGCATTTTGGATGAACGCAACATCATTCACATGCTCGAAAAGCTACGTCAGTATCCGAAGCCCGACTCCGAAACGTATTCTAAGAAATTTTGTGTTTGCTTTTATTTGGCCATACCGTTTTTCAGCGCGGGTCAAGGAATTTTGATCTTTATTCACGATCAAAATTTAAAAATAAGGACGAACATTGTCGGATCCAGCAAATTGGCAACATCGTCTTTTCTCCATTTAAACCAATGGAAATGTATCGATTCTTGGAGGGGCCAGGTCCCCCGACAAGAATAGATTATTCAGCATAGGTTTAAATGGAGAAAATCCGGTGTTGCCAAATTGCTGGATCCACCTCTGAGGACGAATCAAAGATCTCAGCAAAAAACTTACTTGACCCTATGTAACGCCACTTAGTCGAAAGGTACTCCCATATTTTGATTCATCTATATTCTCCCCGAAGAACCAGAAAATTCTTGCTTTGATATGAACTAATAATTAAGAAGGATGATTTATATTGGGGTAATATAATTTCAGAATATCTCGGGCTAAAATTTACCACGATTTCACGACATAATTTAGTATGAAATAAAAGAGACAGAGAAATCGGAATTCCATTGTGAATGTAACTTCTTTTGCGACAATTTCAACCCGATTAATTACTTAGTCATAACCCTTAATATTTCTCCATATCAACATACCAGAAAAAGACACATTTATCATTTCAGAAAGTTGGAGAAATAGCTTGTGTGTTTTTATGTTTGAACGAGGTGTATTTTTCGATACTTTTCCTGGTTCTTAATTCTTATTTGCTAAGTTCATACTCTGTCTCTCCCACTTTCCTCCTTTCTGCCGTTTTAAAAAGATAGCAAAATAAGTTCATTTTGAGATTAGCGCCGAGGCACACATGGACCCTTGCACTGAAATAAAAAATCTCGGTGTATTTACTAAGAAAAGGGTAAAATTACCAAGAATTCAGGGTTCTATTTGATCCCAGTTTTTTCTTGGTAAAATTATCATTTATGGAATCGGTAATTTTACCAAGAAATCCCGGTAAAATTATTGAACTTTCTCGGTACTTTCACTGGACCTTGGTACAAACGCCAATATTTTTCATCGACTGTGGTAAAATTACCGAGATAAAATGGCAAAGTTACCGGGAATTGATTACCAATGAAAGTGGTATTCTTACCTGAAAAAACAGTAAAAATACCGGTTTTTAGGTAAGCTTACCAGTCTGTCTTGGTAAAATTACCAATAATTGGTAAAAAAAGTGAGATGGTAAAGGTACCAACAGACCGTGGTAAAAACGTCGAGAATTTTTTTCAGTGCGTGGGCCGTGGCTCGACGAATCAAAATCCACTTACTTGCTCTTTTGCGTAACCCAGGAGCCTCCTCTTTTAAATTTATTCAGCCTGTTGCTAATATTTTGTGGTGTTAATTTGTTCTAACAGCTATTTTACCTACCTTTGTCTTTCTTTATACCGCCGTCTCACTTTTTGGCGCATCTCCAATTCAGCCTCCTGTACCAATTCTGGATCCACACGGAAACTATAGCTAACCTAGGACCTTTGGAGTTCATCTTCAACACACCGAAACACCATAGATTCCACCATGGTGCGTATTTTTTTCCTTTTTCTCAAATGTATATATATAGTCTCTACCTCAGCGCACTAGAGCGCTCTGCGACTCCAAATCGCCATCGGAATCGATCCTCCCACAAATCATCGGGCAGATTACACCGTCTGATCTCCCCCTCCACTCCCTCCCGCCAACCTTTTACTGGACGTCCACGCCGCCTTCTTCCGGGAGGAACCCAGTTAAATACCTTCCTGGGCAACCTACTATCTGCCATTCTCCGCACGTGTCCATACCAAACCAGCTGCCTGGTCAAATGTCAATCTTATTTTCCGAATACTTTTGTCATGGGAACGGAGTTCCCCATGATATTAGAATCGTTCCGTTGCTTTCGCTATGGGATTCCCTATACCTCTGCGACCTTGAGCGTTTCGCCCAGTCTTCGATTTTTGGTTGATTTTCCGATGTATCAAAAACCTTGTATTTTTTAGCCAATCATGTCTCTACGTCAAGTTGTGTTGATTGCTAAAATTCGCTTTCAGCGAGTTTATTTCCACCTTGAGATGTCGTGTCTGACTGGTAAATCTGCGCAGAACCACGAAGTTCCGTTTTTAGGCAAATTCTTTTTTTTTGGGAGGTTCTGATTGGTTATTTTTCGCCATCAGTTTTCTGTTCGTTGGTGCAAAAGATCGCCTACCTCGTTGCTCTTGAGAAGCCGCCATTATCCCACCTCAAATTTTAAACATAGATATAAAGAAATAATAACCATCGTACAAGGTGGAAAATTGCTCTGGAGGACCCGTTACGGATATATGAGCCAAAATCAGAACTCGATTGATGGATTTAATCCATGAATACAGAAATATTGCCTGAGCTTACTGCCGCGATCGCAAATGCCTGTTGATATGAACCTCGTGACACATGACAGCATAGGTAAACAATGTCTCACAGAGTAATGCGGTTGATCCGTTGTGTCTTATCACGCCAGTGGCCGAACCGTTGAAATCTCAAGGACGTCTTTTGTGAAGCCCCGCTCAGCGTCCGAGATCACTTAAGTGTTCTCTTTTTCTCCATGCATATCTGAGCAGCGAAATAGCTCAAATGGCTGCGTTACCTTTCTGCCTCTGGGAGAGTGTCACTTTTTGTGCGAGCGGGGGTTCGAATCTCGTAGGGGACAGCTAATTTTTACTGGTTGTATTGAATGTTTTAGACCAATAATCTAACAATAATTAATACTTGGCAACTTAGGAAGCACATAGGTCCCTTATGATGCGTATTCGGGCATATGTGTAGAGTAAAAATATCATACGTAGGGTGTCCCAAAAGTACCGGGACTGGTTCTGTAACTTCAAAAGTAAGATAGATACAGACATGATTTTGGTCTCATTTTAAAGATCAACTCAATACCTATCGATTAAAACCAAGATCAGCTCAATCGAATAAAAATTGACCGAGTTATGACAATTTGAAATTAGTGAGGAAAGTTTACCCCTACGGTTTTTAGGAAGATTTTTCGCTTACCAGGATTCAAAAAGTTAATATTCGTATCCACTTTCCTCCGAATCTTCCATAACTTCCTTTTGCTTTTCAAAGTACCGTCCATCAAACCGGATGCACTTTTTCATGCGCTCTTGCCACTTATCCAACATTGTTTTCCTGAATTCTTCCTCTGGGATGGAGTTGAAGAAGTTTTGAATTGCATTCTGGATTTCGGTCTTCGATACGAATCTTCGTCCGCGAAGCTCCTTTTTAAGCGTAGGAAACATCCAAAAATCACATGGAGCCAAGTCAGGGCTATAAGGGGGATGAGGGATTGTTTCAACTCCATTTTTACTCATAAATTCACGTGTTAAGCTCGATGTGTGAGGCCGCGCATTGTCTTGATGGAGTATCCACGAAGCTTTCAAGTCCGACCGTTTCCGGGAAATGTGCATTCTCAACTCCTTTAGTACTTTGCAATAATACGCACTGTCAACTGTTGTGTTTGATGGTACAAAATGTTGATAAATGACACCTCGAAAATAAAAAAACACAATAAGCATCACTTTATCGGCCGACTTTTCGATTTACGGCGATGAAGAATCTTCCTTAAAAACCGTAGGCGTAAACTTTCCTCGCTGATTTCAAATTGCCATAACTCGGTCAATTTTTATCCGATTGAGCTGATCTTGGTTTTAATCGATAGGTATTGAGTTGATCTTTAAAATGAAATCAAGATCATGTCTGTATCTATCTTACTTTCGAAGTTACAGAACAAGTCCCGGTGCTTTTGGGACACCTTATGTATACTTTACGCCGAAAAAGCGAACCTGAAACTTAAATGCGTTAACTTCCGAAAACCATATATAATCCAACGAAAATAAATAATTGGTACATAACAGCTTTCTTGTATGCAAAGAAAATAATTAAAAATGTTAAAAAAGAGATGTCAACACAAAATTACATAGCCCCTTCAATTCAGAAGATACTACAAACGAACTGTACCTTAACATTTTCATATCCCAGAAGCTAACGTTCCCATGACGAATATTGCTATCGCTAGCGATTGCAAAATCCAACTTGTTTTAATTGTAATGGAACGCTGATTCGTTTAGCTCCAAACTAATCCTCAAAGCGGAGAGCACATTGAGCTTTGGAAAATAGAATAAGGGCGCCAGCAAGTATGTAAAAAGAGGGTTTACACATTAGGTCGGACGAACTTTTTAAGTACGATTAAGTAGATCTCTTATGAGCGGAATATTTTCTATAAAGGTTTTTTTTAAAACGCATGTCCTTCAGATGAGTAGGTATATACTATTGTCAATCTAATTCTGACTTAAATCGGGTATCATTTCAGGGAGCAATATAAATTGCTTGGACAAAAATTATGGAGGAGTGCTGATAATTTGGGATCGAATTTTCGGAACTTTCGCAGAGGCCAAGGAAAATCAAGAAATCATTTATGGACTGGTATTAAATAGGCCATCTTTTAATCCTGTTGATCTCCAGGTATGATTCACGTTGTTTAAAAGTGCTTTTTATGAAGAATCTTTCTCTCTTATGAAGGACTATTTTTACGATGTTAACGTTTCCGTGGAAATATCCGCATATTCATTTTTTCGATCGAAGTTTCTGCACCTGTCAGAAAGTTTTAATTTGACCCTCTTTTTCAATGCGAATGTGATTGTGCACTCGGTCGCATCTAAAGGAGGTCGTATCGAATGTCAACCCACGAACTCACAAAAAAATCTCAAATTTAAGGCTATCGTGGAGGAGCAGTAAATCATGCTGGTTACTATTGTTTCTCCATGCTAAGAGATAACGTTAGTAACATTTACATGATTAACTTTCCTTGTTAAGGACTGAAAGTATCAACAAATTAATCGTGATTTTTAGTCTAAAATCTTGGGACCCTTACGAATGTATTTAGGGGTTTTTTCCTTCTTTCTCTTCTTCTTCTTCTTCTTCTTCTTCTATTCTTCTTATTCTTCTGTTTCTTCTCCTTCTTTATTCTTATTCTTCATCTTCGCAAAGAGAATTTAATGGAGTACATAGTATAATACTAGGCTGCATTCTTATAGTGCTCCCTTATTACGTTCATAATTTGAGGATTTTCCTTTTGAGTTCGTAAGTTGGTCACAAACGAAACAAGTAATACATATATATAATCTTTCTCGGAAAATTATCTAAAATTGCTGAAAATTATGCATAATCCCATGACCCTGTTATATCTTATTGGTTTTGAATACCTTGAAAATTTTCCTCATACTCTCATTTTTTGTTACAGATATTTTATAATAAAAATGTTTACTACAAAGTGAAAAGCATGGACGGCTGGAAGAACAAACTATCCGCAGTGATCAAGGGTCCAAGTTGGTACCCGGGTTCTCCCTGGACGGGAGAGGATTCCAAAAAGCTTGATGTAAGTTTCTTCCCTTTCGCAGTAATTAAAAAGCAATACTTCGGGAGGAGGGGTATATTAAAGGCCCAATGCATCTTCTTCGCACAAGTGCGGAACAGTTATGAATAAACAGGCCATTCAGAGGTAAAATCCCGCAAAAATCGCAAGCTTTCCTTGCGCCTCTCTCTCATTGGCGAAGCTTGAATTATTGACTATCGATACTTTCCCAATTAAAGAGTTTGTAAAGGCAAATCGATCGACATATATCGCAAAGCACGACACACCACCAGTCTATTCATTCATACGTTTTTCTTGTGTGCAGTAGACCCATTGACGCATTTGATCCGAGTTGTGCGATTTTCCTTCAGAATGTCACGTGAATCAAGTTTTATAGTATGAACATGCATAAATCAACCCCGCGTGACAAATTACTTGAGAAAAGAGAGGTTTAAAGTGCCCTGTTTTCCTTGTTCATACAAGTAATTCTTAAGGGATTAAAACGGAATTTTCTAACGGATGTGCAAAAGTTAATGCAATGGTGCAAAATTTGGCGCAAATTCAGAGATGTTCTGGAACATATCGATGGAGTAAAATTATTTACAAGAATGAATATTAAAAGTTTTATCGAGCTGTTTTTGAGTGGCGTCTGGATTCATCGAGAAAAATATTACCTAATATAAAACATTTATTTTCCTCTCGGAATTTCTGAGTGATAGCCAGCCGGTGAAATACTTCTTTGTTTTTCTAACTCGAACAGCTAGATTTAAGGCATTTACGTAACACAACCGGCTAATCGGGCCAAAAGGTCATTACGATGTAAATTATGTTTTTTTAACCTATCTGATCTCTAATCCTGCGGGAAGAACATTGTTACTATTCGTGTTTTAACAGGCTATGAGTTCATTGATTCATGTAAAATTCTATTAACGATACTGTTCTTTTCCTCTCTCTTGATAAAATCTTACAGTGTTGTGTAAGAAAACAGGGGGGAGAGTGAGAAATGCTCAGAGGAATAATCTCAGAGGAAAACTGGTTTGTTGCATCAATCTTTGAAGAACATTCTATCAAATTATATGATACCATGAAGTACGTTACTAGAATTTGGCGTTTTGACAAATATAATTTGAGAAGTTTTTCTTTATCGGGCATCTTTAACTTTCGTATAGTTTACCGATCTCCACGAAATGTTTTGACTAAGTTTCTGCTCGACGATGGCCATTTTGGAACTAACTAGTTCTATCCTCAGGTCCTACTCCTAGGATCACCAATTGCAAACGCGTCAAAAAAATTAAAACCGACTCCATCGGCAGGTCGTACAGGATAAATGAATTTTCAAGTCCATTTTCACTGATTCTTATGTTTATTTTTGTAATTATTTTGACGCGTTTCCGATTAGTGAACTCAGTGGTATGACCTGAGAGTGGAACTAGTTAGTTCCAAAATGACCAGCGTCGAGTAAAAAAGTAATTAAAACATTTCAAGGAGTTCGCGATACAAAGGCACACTATACGAAAGTTTTGACAAATCTTACTCTATAAACAGGAACGCGTAACGGCTAATATAACGCCCAGTGGCGAGGCATGAATGATCGATTTTCGATATTTCCCCAATTGAATCTATGGTAAAGAATCGATCATTAATTGGTGTTCGTTGAGAACACCCTGTTTATAGATCGTTTTCCATAGGTTTAAATGGCAGATCAATCGATATATCGTAAAGCACGCCGCACCACTAACGCCCAAGACACGAAACGCGACGCGCGGGGGTGTATCAAGGTGATCAGCCCTCCCCCCCACAATCTCTTTTAATAATCACAAAAATCTATATCCCTGTAAAACAAGAATTTCGGAACTACGTTAGGGATTGGGGCGAACGGGGCTAAAGGAAATATGTCAGAGAGAGAAAAACGAGATGAGCATTCAATCAGTCTTAATCTGACTCCACCAAAAAATCTATAGTCCGAGTCCTATTTACCCCATAATCTAATTTTCAATGACTGCCCGGGACGTTCTGGCTGATAAACCCATTCATTTTCCTTGGAGACTTTAACGCAGAGGTAGGAAAATAAGCGTATCGCAGAAACGGAATACAGCACACATAATTGGACGTATTTCTATCAAACGGAGCTAAGCGCCATAGGGGGAGGAAGGGAGAGAGGGACTTGAATTGGCGGGTGTTGCGGAACGCGATGCTTGTTCTGTCCTATACTCGTAATGCTTTTCTATGGCGCTTAGTTCCGTTTAACAGAAATACGCCCAATTATCATAATATTCTATTACGTAAAATCATAAAAGGGACATGTAATGCATAACGATTGGTGCCCGAGGCGCTTCAGGGGTTGGACCGTAAAACAGTCAGGGGGCGTAGCCCTCTAATTTAGTAAGAAAACGAAAAAGATCTAATTCCACGAGCAATCCATTTCAATCCTTTTTTCTGTGACGATAAAACGCCGAAATGCAAGTATACCTAACGTGCCCATTATTTTTTGCGTGTTGCGGAGGGAGAAAAAGTATGTTCAAAGTAGAGGTGACATTGCGCCTTCATCTTCAAAGGTATACTACATAATATCCTCGGTGTGACATGGGTTTTTTCCTCTTGGGAATGGGCGTATCTTTCTTATCAAATGCACTGATTGCAAACATTTTGATAACCAGTGTTCTTTTTATGTTCTAACAGGTTCAACATAGAGAAAAGTTTGATGTTAAACTGCCATTTTGGTGCAATCTGTATCTGTTGTCTCACTTTATTGTAGTTGTCATCGGGTTCCAAGAACTGACATTGAGGTACATGGTAAGTAGTGAAAATACGCTTTGTTTCTTACATTACTAGCTTGTTAGAAGTAGAGTTCTAAACAGCCAAGTTTAAAGGTAATTTGAGGAATTCACCATAATATTGATGGTGAAAGTAAATAAAGATCGCGTATAAATTAGGACGTTTGAAAATCTTCGATTCTGTTTCATATGTAGGTATGTGCATAAAAAATGATGAACGGTACCAATTGGAACTCCTGTTGAACATTCTATGTAAGATAAAGATATATCAGTAAAAATCCCAAGAAATATTTCTCACTACTTTTTCTCAGAAAAAATGTCGGATAAATCTGCATCGTGTCAAGTAATTGAGGTATACAGACTGTTTGCTTTGACCATTAATATTGGTGACACGTGTGGATTCTATCTCATTGCAATCAAAGTATGACCCGATCTTTTAGTAAATCAATTCCATTTATTAAAATACTAAAAAAATAGGCTTAAAACAGTTACACGGTGACTTAGAAGAGAGAAAAGAGATAAGAGAAACAAGTCTTCAACAATGATTAAAATTATTTTTGAACAATAAAAATGTAACAAACACTTAGAGCTTGAGTAACATTGTCCTGTTAATCTGTTCAGGAAAGTAATAACTATCTGAAAATAAAACTAAACGGAAACCGTCACTCGTGAGCTCTCGCAGAGAGACTGCAGTTAATGGAAGATTTTAAGAAAGTAAATGATTTAAAACAAAAGAAAGGCATTAGAATTTCAGTTTAGAGTATGTACCTATAAATAGCCAATATTAAAGACAAAGCAGTGGCGTGGTGTACTTTGTAATCTATCGATTGATCTACCATTTAAATCTGTGGAAAAGGATCGATAAAAAAGGTGTTCGCAAGGATTACCTTAATAATCGATTCTTTACCACAGCTTCAAATGTGGAAATATCGATCATCGATCACTCACGCCTCGCCACCGAGACAAAGATATTGCTGCACGTCGGAAAATATCTCGAGGTGAAATTTTTTACCGTCGTTAAAGTAATCCCTCTGAAAAAATATTTCGAGGTAATGAAAATCGATCGAAATTAAGATAGACACTCATAGTATATAAAGTTAATATAGCGATAGTTACAATCGATCTTTCATTTTTTTTTCAATTTTTCACTCGTAAAAGTAACAAAATTGATTTATATGCTTTTGAAATAATGTAATGAATGAGTGTAAAAACTTCAAATCTAACATATAATTAAAATCCTCACAATCTTCATGCTCTTTCGGTATAAACAGAATGGTTTTATAATACATCTTGATTTTAATTTCATGTAAAAAAAACATTCACTTTTTTATGGAAGAGAGAGAGGATGACTTAAAAAAGTTTCTTGTGTGAGCTAGCTGGTGGCAAACCGCAAAAATGCTTCTACGACCAACTTTATTGATTTCACGAAATTAGTATATGAAATAATTTGGAATTGAGCTTCTCTGGTGTTCACAAGATGACTCATAAAACTCATAATTATCTTAATACTAGATGGCAGTTGGACTATTTTATTATTACGTACTAAAATGTATAACCTGATGTTGCTACGATATTAATTTTTATCGTGCTTTATTATAGAAATAAGTAAAAAAATGAATCCAAAACTAGAATACGTTCATCAGAGATTAATTACAGGGTAGTATAACAAATGGTTTACTTTGAGCATGCCATTATGAATTGCCATCAAATCAACCGCTGGACTGAATTATGTGTGATAACCTGGTATAGTCAACACACAAATCAAACGCCAGATATTAAATCAGTTTAAATTTTAACGTGCTCGGTAGAAAAAAGAAACAAAAAATATCGGTGAAATATCGAGAGTATGGTCAAATTCTTGGATTACAGTGATATTTTTGGAAATGAATTGAGTCAACTAATTGCTGTTAATTATTTCTGGTAATTTTACCGGCTTTCGATGTTTCCACTGTGCGGCAGATAATTTGACCGACGTCTATTCATGTAACGCGTCACAATCACTAAAAATATCTGTAAAATTTTCGGAAATGTATTAAAATTGTGGAGGCTACCAATCTTCATCAATTGTAAATATACTGAAATGGAGAGAAAAACGCGCAGACTTGCCAATTTATTTGGTAGATACAGATCATGGGAAATTTTTTGTGAGTCCATTAACTTTTCACGGTGATCTGAACATGATCAGTATGAAAGTAGTTAGAAAAATTACTGGACACAAAGTATAAAATTAAAAAGAAGAATAATAAAATTACCAGGGATTTCCATAATTGGTAATTTTTGATAATTTCGAGTAATTTTAAAGATGACAAAAAGGATATGGGGGGTCCTATTTGTGGAGGTGGGTGGTTGCAATGGACAAAGGACGCAGGTATTAGACAAACTAACCGCAACCCACGAGAGACCGTAGTCCATCATTTTCTCCCTTAGTCCATAGAAACCACCCATTTCAACCAACATGATCCTCCCGATGTCTCTTTTGTCTATGGCTTTGCGGAAAATGTCAACAATCAGTCCGCAGCGATCGGTAAGCACATGAAAATGGATAATTTTATTGTTTTCTCCCTCAGTCCTACCGACTTTGATAAAAATATTTACGTTATTGTGTTACTTTTGGTTAATAAAGGAAGTGAAACACAAACCTACACAAATGTTGTGTTGCTTTAGTTCACGGTGAATTTAGCGCAGAAAACAGTGGAGAGACTGAGAAAATGCATTCCTCCGATTGCAACGTTGGTATTCACCACTCGTTTAACCACTGGCGGATACAGCAAATTGGCAACATTGTATTTTTTTCATTTAAACCTATGGAAATGTATTGATTCTTGGGAGGGTCAGATGCTCCGACAAGAACGATTATTTTTCATAGGTTTAAATGGAGGAAAACCGGTGTTGCCAAATGGCTGGATCCGCCGCTCGTTTTTTATTAAACTTCAAGAAAACTAGTTGGCATTTTCCCTTGAAATCGTTGATCGGGGGCTAGGGCTAGTTGAACCGCGTTTAGCAGAAAGGAACCAAGCTACATCAGCTATTGCCCAATTTTATTGGGCATTTACATTTTTTCATGAAAACGGTTGTCCGGATTTTTATGCAAATTTCAGTCGATTTTCTACACACTACGAAGCAATTCCTTAAAATTTTCAAAGGAATCCGCACAAACGTTTTCTTCGAAAAACTTGCCCAGTTTTTGGCAATAGCTGATGTGGCTTGGTTCCTTTCTGCTGAACGCGGCCCATTTCGTGTTTTACTTCCTTTATTAAGGTGATTTGACGGACGCCATATTTTGTGTCAGAACGACGTGCGGTATATCGCATCAATTGGTTCCATTTTTCCAGCTACTCGTCATTTTTCTCCAATTTTGAGATCGCAACTCTGTTGTCAGGAGACTAAAGCACTCACTTACCAATATTAACAAAGAAATTCAACGCAATAAAGGCGTGGTTTTTTTTAGAGAGAAAATATCGCATTCGAGAGAAGTTTCGATATCAGTATCGAATGCGATGTTTTCTCTCTAAAAAAACCACGCCTTTATTACGTTGAATTTCTTTTTGAAAATTGGTAAGCGAGTGCTTTAGTCTCCTGATAACAGAGTTGCGATCTCAAAATTGGAGAAAAATGACGAGTAGCTGAAAAAATGGAACCAATTGATGCGATATATCACATGCTGTTCTGACATAAAATATGGCGTCCATCGAATCACCTTAACCAGACCTCCGTGTTGAAATTTCTCTCTGTGTGGTTGGAACAAGTGTTGATTGTGAAATGGTATTTTTTCAGGCAATGAACCCAGTAGTGGTGCTTCTGATGATCAGCTACATCCTTCTGTCCCTGACTTCGATCGGTCTCCTGTTCGAGAACCACTCCTATGCAGGGATTTTCGAGCTCCTTCGTTGCGTCCTGTTCCTCTTCTACGTCCAGCACTTCGGCGCCGCCCTCACCAACCCCGTGTTCCTCCAGCTCTGGCACTACCAGTATTTCTTCATCTTCTCCGCCTGCTTCTGGATTCTCCAATGCCTCAAAGTCCTGCAGATCAGAGTCAAGGCCAAATAATTTCTCCACAACTGAATTTTTTTCAAGGACGTTCGAGAAAATGGTTTAAAATTTATTTTTCCGAATCGAAACAAAATTTCCTTCGTCCGATGACTATGGGCGACTAGACAATGTCTGTAGTAGAACAAAGCGTTACAAGTTATCTCCTCTAAATCTCTCATTGTTTTCTTCTTGTTGAATGCTATACTGAAACGCTCCTTAAACTTCCGTTGATCACAATATATACCATGTGGACCACATTATGCAACAAGAAACCACTATGTTTCTGGCTCACTTGAGAAACAACATACATGCCATTGGTTTCCTTACGCAGAAATGTGCTTTTACAGAAGAGCCAGAGATAGTGATTCCTTGTTGCAAAATGTGATCCGTATGGGACTTCCTTAGGAAAGAAACTGATTAAGGGACGACGATGAATACGATATATCCTGATTCTTTTCAGAGCCTTTGCGTGAAGCAATATTTTTTTAAATGTTTGCCTAACTTACGTGTCATATTTGTGCAAAGACTTCCTAAATGATATTTGTTCAAGAGGTCCGTTTGATGAGACACCCATCCACAAACAGAATAAGCTGTGACTTTCATGGGAATTTCCGAGAAACACCAAAGAAGAATGGCAGAACGAGATTACATCAGTGGCGTCACATGCATTGCGATACATCGATTGATTGCCATTTAAACCTATGGAAAAGGATCGATAAACAGGGTGTTCACAACGAACACCTTAATAATCGATCCTTTACCATAGCTTTAAATGGAGTAATATCGATACATCATTCTCGCCTCGCCACTGGTTACATTACATCCTCTCGCTTATTTTAGATGTAGTACAAACATTAATATATTTTAAAGAAGAGAGCTTTTGCGGGCGCCCCCAAAAACAAAGCTGAAATATAATTATTTTATGTTGTGAGGCCATTTATAAATAAGTTGACTGAAATTCAAAATTGTTACTTTAGAATTTAAAATAGTTTCTATCAGTTAAATGCTCAACTTTTGTAGACATTTTCCTCTCTCTTTTCCTCATTGAAATTTGTGGAGGGATAGTGATTATAAAATGATTTATGACTATAATTCATGAGAATACGCTCGATTGTAATCATGATAACCTTTAAAATCGACACAAGCAGGGAAACGATACGCCGAATCTGCATTGAATTTTTTAAATAATTTTCTAAAATTAAATATGTAGGCTGAGCACCAAAAATTGTAAATAATTTTGAAAAATGCTTTGGTTGTATGTTATGAAATACCACACAAAGGTAGCCATTTTGGGTGTGCTTTTTTTAACATAATGATTAGCACACACCCAATTTTGACCGGTATGCTGACCGGTAAAATAGTTTTTACCGGTTTATTTTTGCTTTATTTAAGATTTAAAGATGATTAAATAGCGTTTGATAGAAGCTTTCCCAATGCAAATTTCTTTGGTACTTTCCAATGAATTGACAATGAGTAACATATTCCATCCGATATATTTAATCATTCAAGCATATGTTGTTTTTACTTTTTAAGTTGTTTTTAATATAAGTGTTTTACTTTTGTAAATCACATGATGTGCCTGAGCCTTAATACTAATTAGGTGTAAGTTCAAGAGATGTTTTATCAATATACATATCGTATTATTTATTTATTTTTTATGCTATATACATATGAATAAAAAAATATTGACTCCATTTATATTTGTGTTATTACTCTATTCGTTGTTTTCTTCCTTCAACTGAACGGACGTATCAAGTATAGCCAAAAAGTGAAACTACTTTTTGACGCCATTTTTGAAAACTCTTGATAAGTTATTTGCGCCTGGAATTTAATTCGTTGAAAAAAATTAAATGCTAATTACAAATAATTAGCGGCCGTAAATTCTGAGGAGAACTATAGCTCAGTTTTAGTTTAATAAATTTAAAAGACTGCGCTTGAGGGCTGAGAGTTTATTGTGGAGTCTGCTGGTGAAGGAGAGCCTCTATTTTTCAACTTAAAAGTCTGAAATAACAAACAAATTAAAGTGATTTCATGTATTTTAATTAAATTAGATTTATTTTCCATGATGCATTCGCCTTTTAAAATATATCAGTGATTTAAAAATGATGATCCAATTTTTATTTTTTTAAAGTTCCTTACCTGTGTAAGAAAGCAAGCATCAAAACTTGTAGAGGATTGTCCTCAGTTGAGCCAAAGTATCATGAACTAGTTTTGTTTGGAGGGGATGAATCTTGCCTGGTTATAGAATTCAGCAGTTCTTCATTTTGAGTCAACACTGAAACAGAGAATTAAGAAAATATATGAAATAAAAACTGATCCTTGGACTTCACTTCTCAGATAGTTTTTGAACGTGCGATCGAATATCAATGTCTTAGCGTCTATGTGGATTTTCTTCCCCCAAAATACTAAGAAAATCTATGGAGAAATGCGGCCAAGTTATAGTATCTTGTCATCAAGTAATGTGGTGGTCACGCCTTTCTTCAAATTACCCGTTAGCTTAAATTAGCACATTTTGCATTTGGGACAGGGAGACCAGGATGTTGAAAATTTAAAAAATAATAACAATAATTTTTGCAAAAACTCTGACTTTCTTGGTCAAAAATAAATAAGAGCTTATGAATTGTATTTAAATCAGCATTTTGGAACGTAAACTCCTCTCTATAAGAAATGAAAAAAAAAAGTTTTAGTTTCAATATCTGGATGTGCTGAGCACGATTCGGAATTCAACAATTTGTGCCTAAGAGATGTTTTCATAGAAAAAACGAAGAATTGAAGGCACTTTATTGTCTTTTGGGATCCTCACAGTGCGCAGTATTGCCCGCCGTCCGCCGTCTCCTCGCATAGCCGCGCGCCGCGGGCGAACTGGTGGAGCGTTGGGTGCCTGGAAAGTCAAAACGCCTTCACTCCCGTGTATATGCAACATGGACATCCGTAGAGCTCGAATAGTTGCATCCAGGAGTTATAACAAAAGTAGCTTAGTATTGCTCGTGTGCCACTATCCGAGGGTGCTACGATTGCTTTCTCTTTCACTTTAACTTCATTCCAGCGTTGGTAATTACGCTAATGAATCGTGACGACATTGTCGATATTAGTTTTCGGAGGAGAATTAAAGACATTCCAGTCAGGAATGCATCTCAACGCAGAGTCTAAAGTTAGAACCCGGCGAGGTAGGATCCAAATCTGTAGAAAATATGTCTTGCGGTACTGCCCAAGTAGCAAAATGAAACTATTTTATGAAAAAAAAATTAATGAAAAAGATTTAGGAAATAAAGAAAAATTAGCTAGCATTATGAAAAGTAGACAGAAAATTTAAAGTGAGTGTCACTATTTACCAAAGAAGATAGGTCTATTTCCTGTCTTCAAAATGAATCTATTTTCCGTCTAAAAAATTGATAGGGCTTCTTCCTTAAGAAAAAATATCCAAAAATCTGATGGAAAATAGAAAGAAAATTGGATATTTTCTTTATCTATTTTTACACAGAATGTAGACAGCGAAATTGTCTGTTTTCCTTGTATTTTGTGTCCGGAACATAGACAGAAAATAGACGTTTTTTAAATAATTTTCTTACCTATCAACCTACCAACCTATAACTTTGGGTGAAAGTGCGAACAAAACTATCTGAAAAATTGGAAGAAAAATATTCACACATTCACCGGGAAAGTCGTGTTTTATTAAAGAAAATGTGGCAAAGGGAGTTTTAGAGGAAATGAGGGAGTGCCAACTTCCTGCAGGACTTTGGAAGGATACGGAACTTTGGCGGCTGGGAGTCGCAGAGCGCCAAAGAGCGTTGTAAAAGCGGTTTCTAAGTATGTAATTTGGACTACCTTTTGCAATTGGGAACTATAAATTCCGGTCCGGTTTAAAATCAACGCATATGCCATTAGTTTCCCTTTGCACCTACGTGTTTTTTCAGATGAGCCAGAATTTATAGTTCCAAATTGCAAAATGCAATCCATTTGGCAACGCCTGCAGGTTCATGAGGCGTTTTTCCTTAGCACGGCAGAGCACTGGTGCTGTTCTTACCGATCTGATCGATGATAGGGGCCATCCTGAGGGTGATGCCGACGAGGAGCATGCAGGTCATGAGGAGAAGACCGGCGGTGATGATGATGGTCCAGCGGGCACGTTTTGGCAGGTCCTCGGGGTCGATCTTGCTCGGGCCCCTCTCTCGTTCCACCCTCCGCCTCCTTCTCCGCCTCCGCCGCCGCCTACGACGCTCCGGTAGGATCACGATCTCCGGCTCCTCCACCGCCTCCGCGTCGCGCTCCTTACCCTCGATCTCCACCTCTATGTATAACCTGAAACGCATTCATTAAGAAGTTGGAAATTACAGTGATTTTACACTGGAAAAAAAACACATTGTATCTATAGAGTCCAGACTCTTAAAAACATCGACAAGAAAAAGTACTCTTGATTTAATCAGAATCTAGCTTAAATTAAGAACCAAGCCTCTTAATTTGAGCGGATTTCCTTTTGATTCAAGCAAAAATCCGATTGAATCAAGAGTATTTTTTCTTGTCAATGTTTCCAAGAGTCTGGACTCTAGATCTAATGTGTTTTTTTTCCCTGTATGGAACCTATTCTTCTCATCACCTCACTTTTAATCCACAAAACTGAGGCATCTGTCCCCTGCGCACTGCGCGGGCAACCGCTTCAGTCGGTGACCCATATTCATGGGAACCCATCGGCAAGAAATTGGCTTTAGACAGTAAACTAAAAATCCTAGCTGTTCCTAGGAGGTATAGATGATTGCTTTAATCTCCTGACGCAGATAAACCTCCGTTGAATAGTTGCATCTCCTAGCATAGGTTTTCTCATAGATTTTCAAATTTACTGTCGCATTGGGTACTTTATTTGTTACTGGATGTAACAAGGTGGAGAAATAGTGCTGGGTCCACACCATTTCGCGGGGAAAACAAAGCCAAGAAGTTCTAAAAATTAACATTAGAGTCAAAATTAATTTTTTGAACTCTAATGCGCACCAGCACGAAACTGAGGGGGGAGAGTGTTTAGCTCAGGCAGTTTGTATTGGAATATTAAGTTGGAGTCACGTTGAGAGATCTTTACCGGTTTGGGCCTTTTTAGACCTCATCAGTAGATCACACTCGGCAGATCTCATGTCGAGAGATCTATAATCTATATCATGCTGTCTTGGATTTTGCGGCATGTTAAGTTGGGTTCATTGCCGAGTGTGATCTACTGATGCGGTCTAAAAAGGCCCAAACCGGTATAGATCTCTCGACGTGACTCCAACTTAATATTCCAATGCAAACTGCCTGAGCTGAACACTCTCCCCTCTCAGTTTCGTTCTGGTGCGCATTAGAATTCAACGAATTAATTTTGACTCTAATTTTAATTTTTGGAACTTCTTGGCTTTGTTTTCCCTGCGAAATGGTGTGGACCCAGCACTATTTCTCCACGTTGTTACATAGAGTTCGGGCCACTTCTTAGTGTTTTTTTTTCTCTTAATTTGTTACTGGATTTATGCTCAGCTAAACTTGAGAAAATAATGCTCTTAAGTTTTCGTATTTCAAATTGAATTTTCTTTGTTTATATTTTTTTAATAACAGGACCCGATCATTTTTTATAAACTCCGATGCAACGAATCTTAAATAAAGGACTCTTTTATCAAAATTAAAAGACAGAAAATGATTAATATCTGTTTTATCAGGCAGAATAAAACCGAAGTGAGATTCCCTCAGTTATCGTCTGCCGTGACTTGGAAAAATCGCGTACAGTCCCGATTGCAACATACATCAAAGCGCCTTCGTGATACAACTATTCGTGCTCAGAAGATGTCTGTGTTGCAGCATCAGAAATTGAAGGCGCTTTAATTTTTCTCGCGTTCACAACGCAGCGCAGCTCCGCAAGGTTACACTGTTCACTCTCCATTTCCAGTCACTGGTGAGATTTTCCGCCAATCGAGGAGATACGTTACTTATGGACGGAATTCAAACGTATTTTAACCCTAGTCTGATTTATTCGAGTCTCGCAGACCTACGGCTCGTTATAACTGTGTGGAAATAGGAACGGCAGGAAGGAAAAAAGTAAAGGAGAAAGGAGACGAGGAAAAAGTAAATATCCACTTATGGCTCTCGGCAGCAGTGTTGTCTCTGTTTCCAACCAAGGTAGATTAACACAGGTATGGATAAGTTGAAAATTTCCCATAAAACTCTGCGCGTGTTACATGACTTCGTGGCGTGCACTAAGGGACCCGTTTGACCGCGCGATTCGCAACTTCATTGAATTTATTACTTCATTTAAACATCAAAAAACTATCACGCATCAACAATGATGGGTAATAAGATCCTCGGGAACAATTAAATTATCTCCGAAACTTGAGTAACAAATTATTACAAAGTGGAGTAAGATAACCGATATATCACCAACCAATCACAATTACGAAAGCATACAAATGGCGGTCGTTAAGGGACCACCAGAGAGACAATTAGAGGCCGGATTTTCAACTTTTCCATACTTGATTTAATCTACCTTCGTTTCCAATGGACAACTCGATCTATATAGCTCTTAGGGCCTCAATGGGCGACAACAAGTAAAACGAAAATCACTAGAAAAGTGCCGCTGTCAACCTATGCATTTGAAAGATTAATTGGTAGGGCCGACAGCGCATTGTAGACAAGCGTTTTTAAGGATGAAGACTTTGAAACTGAGAAAATTTAGGTGAAATCAAAGTTTTATACGTGCTGTAAAAATTTTTGATAAGTTATGAGACGACTGGTCGTAAGAATTATGGAAATTAGTTCCACTGAATAATATGAGTTCATAAGTTGGCAGCCCTTTTGGGCCCCAAGCAAAGACATAAAAACGGAGCGCTAAAAGCAGCTAAAAGCAAAAAATGAAGCTTCTTTTCAACCACCTCTACTATTGGCTAGAGGACTGGCGGCAAAATCGGGACAAGTTTGAAATTCAAATGTAGGGCGGTTTCTGAATAAAATTGCGTAAACAAAGTATTCTAGGTTGATTTTTGCCCAAATTCACTTACCCAGTTATTTTTGGTCCGTCATCGACCAATTAATTTCATTTGGGAGTAACGGTAATCTAGGACTGTAATGGTCTGTTTGAACCGGCAAGACCACCATGAGCAGGAGAAAAACTAACTTCATCTGAGATTACTGCCTGTTACCGAGCAAAAATAGGTTTATTATAAAAATTCAATGTCCCAACTTTCTTAACATATTCGTTTTAGGCATTGAAAACACGTTTAGAAGAAGAAATGTGGAAAAATCAAGAGGACAAGTTCAAATCAAATTTCCGTTTGCCGCCATGGATTCCCGCGCTCATTTACACACTCCCACACTCCCACAAGCACCCAGCTCCAAACCAGGTTTCACTTTTCCCTCGTGCTTTTAGGTACGAGCACTCCTTCTATATGTCTTTGATACTCTCCCTATAAAGCACTGGAAAAAAAAACACATTGGATCTAGAGTTCAGACTCTTAAAAACATCAACAAGAAAAAATACTCTTGATTCAATCAGATTTAACCTTAAATCAAGAATCAAGCCTCTTAATTTGAGCGAATTTCCTTTTGATTTAAGCTTAAATCTGATTGAACCAAGAGTCCTCTTTCTTGTCAATGTTTTTAAGAGTCTGAACTCTAGATCCAATGTGTTTTTTTTTTCAGTGAAGTACTTTGTCTCTGTTTCCAACTGTGTAGGGTATACTCACGGGTGCTGCGGCTGGAGGGCGTCGCCTTGCGCCAGGTCGAGGGCCTCGAGGTCGGGGGGCTGCCGCTCGATGGTGAACTCCCCCTGGATGGTGGGCGCCCCGGCTCCGGGGCGGGGGGTCTCGGGGGAGGGCGCCCTCTCGAGGACGAGCTGGGGCGGCTCCGGCGGGAGCTCCTCGGACCAGCGGCGGACCTTGACCACGGAGCTGGCTCGGACCTGCCGCGCCTGCTGGGCCCGCGCCTGCTGGGCCCGCGCCTGCTTCGCCCGGCGCCGCTCCTTGCACACATGGCTGTGATGGTGATGATGATGATGGCGATGGTGGTGGTGATGATGCCCGTGCTCGCGCTCCGGCTCCGGTTCATGACGCTTCTTCCTGAAAAAAAAAGGGGACCAACTTGACCAACTGATATCTCTCAATGATTCGCGGCCCCACAGAAATGGGTCAGTTACGCTAGAGTACCTGTATAGCGAGAGTATGGACAGATCGCTTCATGGAGGGCTTTGGGCCCAAACGTGCAGCCACCCTTCTGAGCAACTTCTAACGCACAAAATTTCACTGCCAGTCTGCAGATTCCAATTCTAACCAAGATGGCTCAGGATGTACATAAATGAGCGATCTTCTGCAAAAATGAGTAAAGTTATGCAAAAACCAAGTCAAATACGTGCTTTATTAACGACGGTTCGCAACGATTGTATTCATAAATCGCTCTGGATAATTGAAATTCATAGGTTAGCTGCGTTTCTGGGCCCTAACTTTATTCGTGGAGGCATCGGTGAAGGCCTGATGGATTTTCGGAATTTCACATCTGTCTATACTCTCCTTATACAGGTACTCTAAGTTACGCTGGTCACAGAATGGAGATGTTGCATGTGTGAGGAATTTACGATTTGACAATTGATTTGTATGTAAAAGTTCGCGAGAAACACGATGGTCCCACTGGTTTTCTCTGCAATCAACTCGCGATCTCAAAAAAAGCTCTCAAGTTGAGGCCAAAATGGAGGGGATATCCCACGCTATCCTGAGAGCCCACCTCTGCATCAAGACAAACTCTCCGTGCAAAGATAGGGAGCAAATACATTAGCTGGGATGCCGCGTTTTCAGTTTTGGAGTCCCCAAATAAAGTGGCAGCCCAGTCAATGTATCTGCCTCCTATCTTTGCATGGAGATTTTGTCTCGATGTAGAGGTGGACTCTCCGGATAGCGTGGGATATCCCCTCCATTTTGGCCTCACTTTGAGTGCTTTTTTTGAGCTTGGGAGTTGATTTCAGAGAAAACCAGGGGCACCATCGTGTTTCTCGCGAACTTTTACACAAGAATCAACAATCATCTCCCAAGCTCAAAAAAAGCTCTCAAATTGAGGCCAAAATGGAGGGAATATCCCACGCTATCCTAAGAGTCCACATCTACATCATGACGAACTCTCCATGCTAAGATAGGGAGCAAATACATTAGCAGGATTGCCGTGTTTTTAGTTTTGGAGTCCCAAAATAAAGTGGCAGCCCTGTCAATGTACTTGCTCCCTATCTTTGCATGGAGAGTTTGTCTTGATGTACTCTCAGGATAGCGTGGGAAATCCCCTCCATTTTGGCCTCAACTTGAGAGCTTTTTTTGAGCTTGGGAGTTGATTTCAGAGAAAACCAGGGGCACCATCGTGTTTCTCGCGAACTTTTACACAAGAATCAACAGTCAAATCGCAAATTCCTCACACATGCAACATCTCAATTCTGTTTTGATGCTTGATTCTAGTAGACTAGCTAAGAATATTAAAATATTAAAAAGGTTTAGTGACCCATTAGCCATTTTGGCGGTGAAATTTCCAAACCAAGAGTCTCGGTTGGCGGTGTTGCAGATTGCCTCTTTATATACTTCATTACTTTGGGAACACTATTCAACGTTACCCTCTCCGCGACTTTCATGCTTTCTCTCCTCCACGTGCGGAATATTCTGAAGGAGATGATCATAATGGGCCTGTTGCAAACTTTTGCTAGAGCAAAAATAAGAGTTGTTTCTTGTAGATAATGCCTCAAAAATCACGATGAGCGCATCGGCAAAGTCTGAAATGCACTTATAACTTCACAATCTGCGTAAGAAATTTGCGTTTTTTTAAGCTTCCCGCTTCAAAAACGATACTACGGCATAGGTGAACATTTTGTTAGAGGAGTCGCTCCATCGTCGGCGATATTCATCATGGCCGACGCTTGCACGCAGTTCCGCGCGTAATTCAAGGAGAGTTCAAGGTCAATCAATTCGGGCGTGGAAAATATGAACGTTAACACACCGATTGTTATCTGGTCTAATCCAGTTCAGGTGTTATCTCGTCCCATCAAACGTGTTTTGGCGGATTGGCGTCGGCTATGACGATTATTGCCGACGATGGAACGACTCCTCTTACAAAATGTTCACCTGTGCCGTAGTATCGTTTTTGAAGCGGGAAGCTCAAAAAACCGCAAATTTCTTACGCAGATTGTGAAGTTATGAGTGCATTTCAGAGTTTGCCGATGCGCTCATCGTGATTTTTGAGGCATTATCTATAAGAAACAACTCTTAGTTTTGCTCTAGCAAAAGTTTGCAACAGGCCCATTACTTGAAACTTTCAGACGACGTCCTGTTTAGCGGAAAGTGAGATCAGCGGAAGTCGCGATAAATTACACCGAAAAAAGGGTTTCAGAACATTTCGTCAACGATTTTTTGTCCGCGCACCTTTCTTGTCCAGTAGTTGACGCCCACACGTAAAATAAGCAACAGTGACTTGGTCCAAGCTTTATATTTTAGTCGGTATGTAAAATTTTCGTGACAATATGAAATTGAGAAGGAAGGAGGTGTTGTTATGGTTGCTAATTTTCTAAACGAAATGTTACTTTCTCCTTTTGATTCATCTTTTTAAATTGTCATTTGTGAATATATGTTTTTATTTCTTACTGTCCTTAAAATATTCGATGTACAATATACCTTACATATATATTCGTACTTTTCTTTTTATTTTTTTACGAAATTATTACTTCATTTTGTAAACATTTATATTTTTAAAACGTGACAAATATTTGTAAAACCTTTTCGAAGCGATGGCATCGATATTAATCTCAATGAGCCGCAGTTGTGCCGAAAGAAACTGCAAAAATGAATAAAAGAGGAACAAAAGCAAAAAGCACGTAATCTTTAATTTTAACCCATTCGAACATCGATCTTTTAGAGTCAAATACGTCAAATTTTGAGCTATTCGTTGCGCGTACACCTCGCTGCAGCACAGTAAAAGCACAAAATGTAAAATAAAAATTAAAGTGCCTTGGGAATCATTAAATTTGACACGGAACCACCAGTATTTAAGAAACACATTATATTATTACTCTCCTTTGATAAATTGATACATTTTTCCCCCATCAATTTAAATGAGAATAAACAATGCAGATTGTGCAAACATTTCAAAATCATCGGTTAAAAAACGCTGACTATGCGAGTATAAATATTAGGGCCTAACAGAGCGGAGCGGCGTGCTGCCAGCGCGACCGGCTCACTGGCGCCTACAAACCTAAGTGGATACTTCAAGCATTGTGCAATGCTTGAAGTATCCACTTAGGTTTGTAGGCGCCAATGCGCGTTTCGAGCTGACCGCCCGCCCGCCGTGCGGCGGCGCCTGAAGCAACTATTTCACAACAGAGGTGTTGCACAGTATTATACGAAATTGTATTAAGAATGACAGGCATCCTTTAAAAGTACATATCGTTCCTCGCAAAATAAATCAAGATACTTATCGTACTCAGGAAAAATCTAAGAGCCTTTAGCTGAGGCAAATCAAGAGGTTCATCCGGTTCACGTAGAACAAGGTAGGAATTTCTTGAAAGATAATTAAGTTCTGTTGCACCAAAGAGTCTTAGAGAGTTTTAGTGAATTTTTTCTAATGGAATTGACGCTCCCTCATTTTTACCAAAAATCACAACTACATATTATTCTCCGATGGATCAAACAACCCCCCCCCCAAAAAAAAAAAAAAAAAAAAAAAAAAAAAAAAAACAAGCAAACCCTCATTCTTCTAAGACATTATACATTTTCATCCAAAAACGTTCTGAGCAATTGTCGTTTGTATTTACATGTGGACCCATTAACTTTGGGTCTCAACTGGCACGTGGACGAAAACCTTCGTGCCGAAAAAAACGAGTGGAAAAAACAGGTGCGCGGACAAAAAATCGTTGACGAAATGTCCTATAACCGAAAAAAGAGGATGCTGACTTAACATTTTCGATGTAAAAATGTGTGCGACAACTCACAAAACACTGTGTTAACCACCACGGCAGTTAGCTTCGCATCTTGACATTGCTATATAATATTTAACCTGTGGCATTTAATGTAGGGTTTTTTGAGTTGTCGCACACTTTTTCACATCCAGAATGTTAAGTCAGCATCCTTTTTTTTCGATGAATGATTCAATATTTTTTTAAAATAAACAAATAAATAAATAAATAAAATGTGATAGAAAATGTGTTACATTATAAATCGAGTTACTTGTTTTTTGATTTTCGATCGTTATAAAGTGGATTCATTCGGTGAAAAACTTGAAATGCAAAACAGAGGTGTACGACATGAGTAAAACCATAAGGAGAGGGAAAATTTTTGCCGTAAGAAAAATTACAAACATTATTGAAACAAACAGGAGAAATTACTCTAACGATTTTAAGTGGACTTATTCTCAATTTATTTTATTTTTTAGCTGCGGAGGGCTGTTAATGACCCCTCACTCAGAAACGACCCCGAGTTCACTGAGAGAACATCTTTTCTATTGCTTGCCTCATAAAATTAAATTACAGCGCTGAAGGCTTTCTGCAGCTTGGTTGTTCCGTCGGGTTCAAAAAGTCGGCTCTCGTCGGGGAAAAAAGTGTCGGAGGGATATATAAGGCCGACAGTGATGAATTTCGTGGAATAAGTTGTTCTTTATCACGGACCGAAACACAATGGGCACTTGAGCCACCCCCTCAGCACCTTGAATCCGCGGCTTTAGAACCTCAATTCTGTGCTCGGTTGCGAATTTCATCCAACAATTGATTAGTTAAGTGAATATACTAGGAATAATAGTTTAGAATAGAATAGTTTAGCAATAGAATCATGGGGCCTGTTGCAAACTTTTGCTAGAGCAAAAATAAGAGTTGTTCCATACAGATAATGTCTCAAAAATCACGATAAGCGCATCGGCCAACTCTAATGTCAACTCCTAGCTTCACAATCTGCCTAAGAAATTTGCGATTTTTTTAAACTTCCCTCTTCAAAAAAGATACGGCGGCACAGGCGAACATTTCGTTAGAAGAGTCGTTCCATTCGATCCCTGCTCAACATGGCCGACGCTTCCGCGCGCAAGTTGAGGAGAGCACGAGGTCAATCAAGGCGGATCAACGCGAGAAAAATGTATAAATGTAAACACGCTGATTGTTATCAGGTGGTTAGAATCATCGTCCCGTCACATGTGTTCTGGCGGATTGGCGTCGGCTGTGTTGAATATGGCGTAGTATCCTTGTGAGCAGGGATTGGATGGAATGACTTCTCTAACGAAATGTCCAACTGTGCCGTGGTATTCTTTTTGAAGCGGGAAGATCGAAAAAATGCAAAATTTGTATGCAAATTGTGAGGTAAGAAGTGCATTTCAAACTCACTGAAAAAAAAATCTCGGTGTATTTACTAAGAAAAGGGTAAAATTACCACGAATTCAGGGTTCTTTTTGATCCCAGTTTTTTCTTGATAAAATTACCATTTATGGAATTAGAATTACCGAGAAATCTCGGTAAAATTATTGAATTTTCTCGGTAATTTTACTGGACCTTGGTAAATACGCCAATATTTTTTATCGACTGTGGTAGAATTACCGAGATAAAATGGCAAAGTTACCGGGAATTGATTACCAATAAAAGTGGTATTCTTACCTGAAAAAAAAAACAGTGAAAATACCGGTTTTAGGTAAGCTTACCAGTCTGTCTTGGTAAAATTACCAATAATTGGTAAAAAAAAGTGAGATGGTAAAAGTACCAACGGACCTTGGTAAAAACGCCGAGAATTTTTTTTCAGTGCTTTGCCGATGCGCTCATCCCGATTTTTGAGACACTTTTTATGAGTAACAATTCTTATTATTGCTCCAGCAAAAGTTTGCAACAGGCTCATTGTCAAAAAGACCATAAAATGTGATTTTTTGCGGGTGATGCGGCAACGCTGGTCGTAAAGTCTCGAGCGAGAATAGCTGTGTGTCTTTGTGTCGCGGGGACTGAGGGCTTCGGTGGCGGAGGTAGAGAATGGCTCTCAAAAAACTTTCGAACAAGTTCGCGTCCTGCGACGCGACACCTCTGAGGGGCTCGAGACCCCTTTTGTGTCTCCAGGGAATTTGAGAGCTATCACTCGCAAATGCTGAGACGTGACATCTCATTTGAAGACGCTCCTTTGGAAATTTTCATCGTAATAAGCGTATTTTATTTATGAACGGTGTAATTTTGAGAGTGATGCTCGAATTCAATGAATGTGCGATATGAATCCCCCACATGTCTGTTAATTCCCGTGATATTTAAGTTGCGATGTACCGTCAAGGGGTAAGAACCATGCACACTAAACGAGCGTAAAACCACCCTTAAAACCCCTCTGGAAAGAATTTGAGGTCGGCCGCGGAATTTCGGTGATTTTTCTTCATTATGTGAAGAATGCTATGTGAAAATTTCAAACCATGATGTTCGTTTGGTGCTTTAAAAAAATAAAATACGAGTTTAGATTTTCAAACACCGCAACTAAGATACGCATGTCTGCAGTTTCACCGTTAATGTTTTGCACACTCTGTATAATTGACAATGTGGGGCCGTTTCCGAAAGGCGCAGCAAAAAGATAAGTGTGAAATTCGACCTATTTGGCGTGAACTGCGTTATATCGACTGCTATGCCATTTAAACCTATAGAAAAAAATCGAGGGTTTTTGCAGCGACGCACCGTGGTAAACGTGCAATGCGTGAAGTATTCTCACAGTCTTGCAGGCGCTAGCATGCGTTACATGCCGACCGCACCGTATTGGCGCGATTAGTTAAACTTTCGGAGTTAGCGTTTTTTAACTCGTTACTACCATTAAGTTTTTACACATCAGTGGCGTGGCGTGCTTTGCGATCGATCGATTTATGCCATTTAAACCCATAGAAAAGGATCGAGGGTTTTCGCAGCGAACACCTTTATAATCGATTCTTTACCATAGGTTTAAATGGCATAACAATCGATATATCGCAATTCACTCCACAATTTTAAGCTACTCAGTTGGCTGCATCCCCGACCTGCAACAGGCCCATTCCATTCACCTCAAGTCGAGCCACAACACTGCCGTGCTAAGGAAAGACGCCGCATGAGCTTTCACACGTTGTCAAGTTTCCTCCGATAAAAACCGAAATTACTTCCGGAATAATTAATAATCCTTAATACCGGAATAATTTTGAATATTATTAACCAAAATTTGCAGACAATTTCTTACGCAATTTAATCTAAAATATCTGAAAATTTCAAGGAAAAATATGCATGAATGTTGTCAAAAATACATGTTTTATCGAGGGAAATTTAGCAACTCTTGAATGTTTATTCGGCGTTTTTCCTTAGCACGGCAGAACAGGCGACTTTCGTATAAGAAGTATTAGCCATTCTCCGTGTTTCCGATCAAGGAGGATTATGGTGGATTTATTTGGATGGACGTGACTTAGCGGGGATGAAGAGCTGGCATCAGTTACATTGAGCTGCGAGTATGAATCGAATTGAGATTATGAATGCTGTTATGAATGCGTTAGATCAAGTTAAGCTAATTTGGACAGTGTTAAGCAGAAAGGAACCGAGCCGCATCCTGCCGTGCTAAGGAAGAACGCCTTATGAACATACGAAAGTTGCCGAATTTCCTCCGATGAAATGTTCATTTTTGAGGAAATTATCAATATGTGTCCTTGAAATGTTCAGACTTTTTAGATCAAATTACGAACAAAATTATCTGAGAAATTGGGAGAAAAATATGCGTAAATTTTTTTGATAATTAGTGATTTGTAAGAGGGAACTTGGCAACACCTGAAGGCTCATCATACGGCTTTTTTCCTTAGCACGGCAGAATGGGTCAAATTACAGATTCATGCCTGGGAATCTGCCTTCTCAAGAGCGTAAACAATGACTGCTGCCGTTGTTTACGAGTTTCCAGCGGCTGATAGATCAGTGCAGTTTCAAAAGAGATGTGGGCATAGTTCACCGCTTGTTAATAGACCAAAGAATTCAGTTAGCTTTTATGTAATTTCGATACTAAATCATACAGAGTGTGTAAAAACTTAATGGCAGTAACGAGTTAAAAAACGCTAACTCCGGAAGTTTAACTAATCGCGCCAATTACGGCGCGGTCGGCATGTAACGCATGCTAGCGCCTGCAAGACTCTGGGAATACTTCACGCATTGCACGTTTAGTACGGTGCGGCGCGCGGCGCCGCGCCGCGTCGGTGTGCGCTTTCATCGATATACAGTCGTAATTTCTCGGTGCTGGACCTACTCTGTCGTGCTCAGGAAGAACGCCGTATAAGCCTTCAGACGTTGCCAAGTTTCCTCCGATAAAAACCAAAATTACTGGAACAATTGTGAATATTATTTTCCCAAATTTTCAGAAAATTTTGTGCACAATTTAATCTAAAATATCTGAAAAATTCAGGGAAATATATGCATGAATGTTGTCAAAAATACATGTTTTATCAAGGGAATTTTGGCAACTCTTGAATGTTCATACGTCGTTCCTCTTTAGCACGGCAGTACTGCGGTGTGCGTAAACCATTTCCGACCAGTGCACACCGCGAGCCTGCAATTCTATGATCGAGAAATCTTAGATATTTTACTACCCTGAATGATTCCTTAGTCTATTGAGTCATTGGTGTCTGAGCTTGTCCGTCTTTTTCTTATCGACTATCGTCATGGCAAACCCTCTATATAATGAGGCAATCGACCGGTCCTTTAAGTTCTCGCTAAAGAGAGAGATTACTGCATCAAACAATTTTCATTTTAAAGTCGGAAAAACTAAAATGTTTCTAGCGCATGATGTTCCGCGGTGAAATCAATCGCAACATTCAAAAAAATAAAAACTGGCATTGCATGGCTACGGACGGAAAAAAATAACACTAAATCCGGAGATTGAATGTTACTCTATTTTTGTGACTGAATCTTGGTTTATTTTTGTAACTTTTCCGTAGCAAAACATGTTTCAGATTCTGGCATAGGAGCTATCGTCGATTTTTATGGCTTAAGGTGATTCGAAGGACGTCATATTTTGTGTCAGAACGACATGCGATGTATCACATCGATCAGTTTCCTTTTTTCAGCTAATTGTAATATTTCTCGAACTTTGAGATCGCAATTCTGTTGCCAGGAGACGAAAGAATTCACTTACCAATTTTGACAAACAAATTCAACTTAATAAATGCGTGGTTTTTTTCCAGGAAAAATATAGCATTCAATACTGGTATCGAAACTGCACTCGAATGAGATATTTTCACTCTAAAAAGTCACGCCTATATTACGTTGAATTTGTTTGTCAAAATTGGTAAGTGATTCTTTCGTCTCCCGACAACAGAATTACTGTACAAAATTCGAGATCAATTGGTTCCATTTTTTCACCTAATGGTCATTTTTCTAATATTTTGTGATCGCAATTTTGTTGTCAGGAGACTAAAAGACTCACTTACCAATTTTAACAAAGAAATTCAACGTAATAAAGGCGTGGTTTTTTCAGAGAGAAAATATCGCATTCGGGTGCAGTTCCGATATCAGTATCGAATGCGATGTTTTCTCTCTCAAAAAACCACGCTTTCATTACGGTGAATTTCTTTGTTAAAATTGGGAAGTGGGTGCTTTAGTCTCCTGACAACAGAATTTCGATCTCAAAATTGGAGAAAAATGACGAGTAGGTGAAAAAATGGAACCAATTGATGCGATATATCGCACGTCGCTCTGACACAAAATATGGCGTCCATCGAATCACCTTAAAATTCAAAAAGACGAGGCAATTCTAAGGACCAAAATCGATTGCATCAAAGCAAAAATGTAAGTGTGACCTACTTGGCTTTCGATAGATCGATGGACGAGCTATCGGACGAGCTGTCAACTGAAGAGCGGTGGAGTGCGTGGCTGTATTTTTTGTCGTAATTGCTGATCCCCTTGCTGTTGACCAGCTCGATCAATAAGTTCCGCAACTGGAGAACTTTCCATTGGGGGCTTCCGACACACTCCGAGTCAAAATCTCCGACCTGCAAATAGCAAAATTTGTTTTAATTAAAAAAAAAAATTGGAAACATAGAAAGGTACTTTATAACCAATCATAATGTCGCAGGCGAATATCAGGCATTTTGTCAAATGCCCAGGCGAATAGGCACGGACTCTTCCTCAGATTGAAATTTTTATTCACATCATTATTTTAGGAAAAATAGTTCATTTCTCCTGTAAGTAAGAATTCTTCGTAAACATGTGTATCATACAATAGTCTATCTCATGATTTCTGAACGAATATTTATCTTGAAATTTTCAGAATACCATAAAATACAGAAATTCTTAAAATTTTACCATTTAAATATGTAAGCACCATTTGAGGTGAAATCAGTACGTAATTTCTACATGAGCCTTGTTTTAACCCATGCTTTCTGGGGCTTATGCGGATATTGAGATACGCCGTTACCCCAGAGTAGAGTCCCTTTATACTGAGAGTAAAGGCAATGTGAATCCATTTCGGATTGATTCCCGTATTTTAGGCCTTCACAGTGTCACAAACGGGAATACACATTACATTTTCACGAATTGCAAAGATTATAAACTGGAATGAACCGGAGAATTGGGAGTGCGGCAAGGAGCAAATGGAATGAGAGACGGAACTGAGACAGGAATTCGAGAATGGGTTGATCAAAGATTACATAAAACGTCCGATTTGTGTAATCTTCATACATCCATAAGCCGCGTTGTTTCAGCTCTCTCTATACAGGGGCTCTAGATAGGGAAAGCATGGTATATCCTCGGAAAATAACATATGAAACCACTTAATTTCGTCACGCAATATGGGATTAGATCCCGAGACCTCTGGGTCGGTGGTTAATTGCGCCAACAGCTCTACTTAGATCAAAATCCCCTGTTCTTCGCACACTGAAGTTTAACGAGGGAGCCTATAATGCGGTGTCGCACAGTGGATCGAGTCAATCAGAGAAGTCGGAAATGGAATTTTTAATTAACTGCAAATGAAGATGTTGCATGTGTGAGGAATTTGCGATTTGACCATTGATTCTTATGTGAAAGTTCGCGAGAAATACGATGGTGCCACTGGTTTTCCCTGGAAATCATCTCCCAAGCTCAAAAAAAGCTCTCAAATTGAGGCCAAAATGGAGGGAATATCCCACGCTATCCTAAGAGTCCACATCTACATCATGACGAACTCTCCATGCTAAGATAGGGAGCAAATACATTAGCAGGATTGCCGTGTTTTTAGTTTTGGAGTCCCAAAATAAAGTGGCAGCCCTGTCAATGTACTTGCTCCCTATCTTTGCATGGAGAGTTTGTCTTGATGTTCTCTCAGGATAGCGTGGGATATCCCCTCCATTTTGGCCTCAACTTGAGAGCTTTTTTTTGAGCTTGGGAGTTGATTTCAGAGAAAACCAGTGGCACCATCGTGTTTCTCACGAACTTATACATTAAAATCAATAGTCAAATCGCAAATTCCTCACACATCCAACATCTCCATTGTCGCGGGCAATCGGAGGCTCGTCCGCGCGCACCTTATACAGCGCCTTCGACATCCTAGAGATACTTCAAACACAACACCGTTACGCATACACTCCGATGCGTAAATGGCCTACACTGCGCCTGGCACCATCGTGTTTCTCGCAAACTTTTGCATAAGAATCAAAAGTCAAATCGCAAATTCCTCACACATACAATATCTCCATTTTGATGTTTCATTCGCCCCTTTTTAAATTTTAAGGGGTGCTTCTAGTGGGAAATGTCACAAGAAAACTAACGGGGCCACTTCTAAAACCTCAAAGTTTTCTGCGAATGGAGTTATGAGCCTTTAAAGTTTCCAAATTTTGTCCGCCTTCTCCCATCGGCTCGATCCTTTGTGCGTCGTGCAACTCGGAAACAGCCCGGTGGCGCATTCTCTGGCGCGTAAGCTATCAAGTGTAATATGATTATTTTACGCCCTGGGCCATCTCGTCAAATACCGCTTTTCAGACGCCATGACAAAACCCAATAATTCCTCATCCAGACAAGCTCTACCGTTAGCGCGAGCCAATTTTCACGCCGACCTGTGCGCACAAATCGTCACCTTCCGGCCGAAGTATCACAAGCGCCATGCGACGTTTTAAAATTTCCGCCGCCTCTTTATTTTTTTACAGAAAAATTTTTGGTTGAACCTGTTCGAAAATTTCACTGAATTTAATCGGGAGCACAACGGAAATTCAGTAAAATTTTCGGACAGCTTCGTTGGACAAATAATTTCTCTGTAAAAAAATAAAGTGGTGGCGGAAATTTTTAAACTTAAGAGACTTTCAATTAACGATAGCTGATTTTAAAGCCAACCTTTAGCAGTGTGCCGAGGCCGCTGATCACAGAATCTTGTTTTGATGCTTGATTCGTAGATCAGCTAAAAATAATAAGATCCGTCCAAATAGCAACTTTCTACGTTCAACATTGACCGAGTTATCGTCTTTTGAAAAGTCGGGTTTTTTTACTATTTCACTAAGTTTTATCGGCAGCACATAAAGAATGGGTCATGCAGTTGCGCTGGTCACAGAATTGTGGTGTCATGCTCGATTCTAGTGGTTACCTAGTCTAGTAGTAAACGTGCAATGCGTGAAGTATTCCCACAACCTTGCAGGCGCTAGCATGCGTTACATGCCGACCGCACCGTAATTGGCGCGATTAGTTAAACTTCCGAAGTTAACGTTTTTTTAACTCGTTACGCCCATTAAGTTTTTACACACTCTGTATGATTTAGTATCGAAATTACATAAAAGCCAACTGAATTCTTTGGTGTATTTACAAACGGTGAACACCATACCCACATCTCTTTTGAAACTGAACTGATCTATCAGCTGCTGGAAACTCGTAAACAACGGCAGCAGTCATTGTTTTGTTTACGCTCTTGAGAAGGCAGATTCCTAGGTATGAGTCTGTAATTTGACCCATTCTGCCGTGTTAAGGAAGAACGCCGTATGAACATTCGCCAAATGCCAAATTGAGCCGTATGCAAAAACAACATTTTTCGCCCCCCCACTAGAATTTATTCAAACTTCGTCTATCAGTTACTAATACTGGAGCGCTTCTTTCCCCAAATTTTCAGACCCCCAAAAAAATTTTTGGGGGGCGCTAGGGGGGGTGGAAGTCAAAACCTGCGACCCTCGATATCTTCCGAACGAAACAAGATATTGAGGCCCGGTTTGGACGAAAAATCGTCTAAAATTGCATACTTTAAGATTCTAGAGGTCAAAATCCCAAAATGAAATTTTTAACTTAACTTATGTGCTTTTTT